ATCGGAGCATAAGCAACGAGTTAGGAACGTCTACAAATATCAATCTTTTCTCTCTCGAATGATTATTTTGGCTATTTTGATTTTTTTCAAAGAAGAATTGTACGTTTGTTCAGTTTTCGTGCACATGCGATTTTTTGACTTTTGCGATCCCAGCTTTCTTGGGAACCACTACTTGAAGGCAAACTCCGGTCTGCCCTTCCGTACTGCTTCATATTTGACGGGGAAAGCCTAAATTCTGCCAGAAATCCCGAACTTTGCCTTTGAAGGTGCTGAAGATGGCATGGTAAACTATAAAATTCTGCTTTTCAGAAGTGTACTGAACCTGGGAACTTTCCATTTTTCCTGAACATGGCAGCTTTTGGGGTTTCTGTGGTTGTACTTTTCTTCAGATCTGGTTTCGTGTAAAATTGTGGGCGTCTCGAGAAATGGCTGACTTGGGCTTCCTGAAATTTTCTGAAGCGGCCCTGAAAAGTCCCTCCCGCAAAAATGTTCCTTCTGTTAAATTTCCTTTTCTTCTTCAGAAGATCGTTCTTTTCATACTATGACACTTTTCGCTGGTTCAGTTTAGTGAAAAACCACAGGCGTCGAAGCTCTTCCAGAACAATTTTTGCATCGATCAACTGAATTCAAAGCGTTTGCACCAGGAACTCCTGCCACGAGATGCGCCACGCGCACATCCGTGCTTCAATTCGGCGAGGAATTTGAAAGCTCATCCTCGCCTTGCTATGGCTCGCATTTCGCTTGTTCATTTGTAGGGGTATTGCTCCGATTTTCATCACAATGCGGCGCTTACGACCCCTTTTCCTCTCCTTTGGTGCAAACACGCTCTTGTTTGTGCTTTTACAAATAGGCGGTTGACCTGCCACGGCACTCAGTGGCCAGCGGAATTAAATTCAGAGACTCGGGGTTCTCGTTCAGCGGGATTGAACACTGCAGTCGAGGCACTTTCGGCAATTCCGTTTGTTCAAAAACGTTACGTTTCACGAACACGGCTATTTGATGCCTGAATGGCGTGTTGAGTGTGTCCTTAAGTCCGATGTCGAACAGTGTGTTCTTAGTTACACTTCTAGCACGATTCCATTTGGTTATTAATACTTTATTTTTACTACATGGATAGTTCGACTATTTGCTACACTAGCAGCTTGACTGCAACTCAAAGCAGGGTACACAGATGAGATTTTTGAGCGACGGGAGCGGCACCGGTCAGCGTTGTCGAGCGATCCTTAAAAGAAAGTTATTTATAAACTCCACTCAAATATGAAGTGAAGAAAGTGATACCTTCTCAATGATTGAACCTTTGCTCTGATCGCGGTCCAGTTTGTCGAAAGTGGGTCGAGGTTGAGCGCTCCGGGGAGGAGTGGGATGGCCGTTACCGACTTGCAACGACGGGTTGCTCCCCTCTCGGTCTTCTGTTCAACGCTCGGCCCTGGAACGGGGATGGAAACGAACACTGTGCAAACGACTGTTCTCGAACGTACCTGCATTGTCGTTTCCCAAACTGGTGATTGAGTGCGATCGTGCGCTGCGTCTGCGTTGCGTTTGTGGATGTGAGCTAGCTGGTGAGTTGTGAAGGCACAGAATTGGAAGTTGGGCACATGAGGATAGTTGTACAAGTAATCTGCAAGAGATGACTGAACCAAGGGTGTTCTGTGGACGCGACAATCTCGCGATCACTCGCGGGCGGTCGGTGCGCGTCAGCTGAAAAAGTGAAAGTTAAAGGGGAAGGAATGGGGCAAGCACACTGCCGTTGGAGATCCCAAGTGATGGGCTTGTTGGAAGACAGAGGATGTTCGGTTTCTTGTTTTTTATGCTACGGCATTTTCGACCAGAGTTATTCCTTCTTTTTATGTTTCGACAAGGAAGCAGATCAAATCACTGATTTGGGAAGTTCTCCCAGACTCAAGGGTAGTAATAATTTTTTGGGGGTGCAATTAGGTCAAACTCACGTAGTGAAAAAGGGAAACGGGGCGCATAAGTTGAAGTGACGTGTAGCGCTAAGCTGTAAGCGCCATAATTGTACTTCTAAGGATCAGTTACCCCGCCGTCAAACGGATCGTCGGCGCGGGGATGCTCGCCTGCGTGTTTTCGGCGTCTTTTCCTCGTTACATTGCTTGGTCTCGCAGGACTCGCTTCACCCGTTTATCTCGTTTTACGGTTATTTGAGATGAGCTAGTTGTGCTCATGGAGGAGGTTGGCAGATTAAGACGGCCATTTCCTATGAATGTCGTTGTCGCATGCATTGATAACGCGGGATTTCCACTTCTGTCCTCAAAAACTGCCAAAATACGCCCTACGGGTATGAAAAAGAAACGAATTGGTCTTCAGCTGGACAGGCAGAGCGATCGTGAGATCCATACTTGGTGAGAGTTCTTTATTTGAGTTCTCTACATTTAACAACGCTTGCTATTCGTTACCTGTTTCAATAGCGTTGTGAGCAGCTTTTCTAGAATGCCGCATCTGCCTTCCTTGGCTCCACATAGCGCTCTCACCACAGTGCAAGCACATGGGCATTATAGACACTCTTGGGCAAATGTGCCTAAACTTCTTAGAAGCTGCACCCACACGTGTCTTCATAGCTCAAGTAAGCTCGGACCGCTGCCAACTGCGGTGTTACAGCGCTAATCTCAAGCCCATCGTGCTCTAACAACAAGGGCTTTTTATGTGCATTTCTAGGCGAAAGGGCGACGATTGAAAAAGGCCTCCGTCCTCCCTTGAGAAAGTCTTTCAGCGGAGACAGATTGAGATCGTCCTTTCAAAGACCGCAGCTGCGTACATCTCATGCAAAATGGGCATTTGATCCCTCCTGATCGGTAGTTCTCGACTTTTCGATTCACAGTCTGCGCGTAATTCTTGAACGCCTACTGACCTGTTTGCGTCGAGGGAGTTGAGGACTTGACGAATGGGCCGATGAGCGTTGAACGATGACAGCAGATTGCCTTTTTCAGTCGACCAACTCTCCAGCCAGCCGTCTTCGCTCGCTACAAAATTGAATTTGTGGTCTGTTTACCCGCGGTAATACAACTGAGAACCAATAAAAAGTGTGGTCCTACCGGAGAAGGCCACGCAACCGTCGGAGGACAGCGAGACTGCCGTGAGCGGTGCTGTCAGCGATGTGGAATGGCGCGATGTCTCATTGCGAATCCAACGGTGACCTGCAAGTGGGGGTTGTCATAGAGTCTAAAAGACTTCACGTCCAACGCGGATGCGCCACGTCTTCGTTTCCCGCACGGAATTACACCTACTCACAACAACGAACCTTTCTGTCCTCAGCTCCGGAAATGACGAGGCGTTCGTCGTCCGCCAACGCCACAGGTCCCTTCCTTTCGATGCCAAACGAGCACTTCAATTCAGATGATAAAAAACACTATCCTGTGGAGCTTGAATACTGCCAGAAAAAGTTACCTGTGTGAGATAGCCGGAATCGATTTGCCACAGCTTGCACGATTGGTCGCTCGAGCCTGAATAGTGAAATGAGCATGTTTTGCCATGGGACCCACCTCCCCCATATCTTCAGTCTAAAATAAGAAGTCTGAGCGGACCAGTGGAACGAGCGTCCCAGGCGCCCCTATCGGGCGAAGCAGGTGATCTCCTCGTTGTGCTGTACAGCTTTTTTCAGCCACGGTCTTCTCTCCAACAGTCCACACTTTCATTCTGCAAATGCAAACTTCTGTTCTCTCTCTTCATCAGAGACGATCTGGGAAGTTCCTACTCTTTGGAATTCTTCGGACAGTGGCCAACCACCAGTTTGCCATTGGGTGGCGCGAAAATCGGCGGCGCAAAACTCCCTTGAGTCGATATCACTGAAAATAAGCCAGTAGGTAAAGAGAAAATGCAATATTCGTGGTCTAGACCATTCAGCTGCCCAGCTTTAGCCTGCGAGCGTGTCCTCTCTCGCGATTTCCAAGGCAAGCCCTCCAAATCCCCTAATTTTCAGTCAGCATCTTTACGTATTTTGTTCTTTGTTCCATATGCCTGCGGTGAAAATAGAGTTGGAGGGGCCACTCCATTGTGTTCCTTCGGTAAGGAAGGATGAGGATAAGAGCGTGGATATCCAGGGTGAGAGAACCATTGGCCAAGAGCAAGAAACTGGATGGGGTTTGGGTAAGATGTGTGAGCTTCTTTTAGCGCTCCTTATCACACATTAAAATAGCCCCCTCAAAGTCCATGTTTGCCATATCAATGGTAGAATGCTCTTTTCGTGGCGCAGGACGGCCTGTTCAAAAAATACTGACGACACTGAAAGATCGAGAGGGTGTGAAACATTCCTTTGACTGATTCTGGGCCGAAGCTAAGCGCGTGCGCGACATCTTGCAGCGGCGACCAACGTTATTTCCACAGAAACAGTTCCGGATTCCATTTGCTAGCGCACTGATCCATCTTAGTGAACAGTGGACAAAAGTTCTCACCATGCTCTCCTCGTCGCCGAAAATCTCCCACTGACAGAGTTTGCCCTCCTTGTCGCAACTGAACACCCGGTAGTTCTCCAGCGGACAAATCGACACGATCTCCGTGGAATGCAGCTGGAACAATAATTTATTTCTACTCTATGATGTTTATAGGTGATCCTGAATGTATCCTCTGCTTCTTTCGACAGTCGCGGTCGGTGGTTGCAGACCACACACCAAAGTGACGACGAAAATGTAATTGGGTGTTCCGCAGTTGAGAATAGTAGCCGGGGAGTTGTATTCGTATCAGTTGCATAATTACGTTTTTAGCATTTACTGATATCAGCTCCCCAATGACCACAGTAATAAGATTTTCCTGGGGGAAAAAAGGGGGTTTTCCCGTCCCAAAACCTTGTGGTTTGTTGTCTGTAACTCGACGGCGCATCTGGCTTTGAAAAACAGACATTGTGGACTATGCTGCTTCAGTTTCATCCCTTCTTGATTATTCATAATTTTTTTAGGCTTTTCGTAAATAACGATACACGCCCTGTTCTCACAAAGAAGGATGTAGAGGGAGTAATTGTCGTTGCTCGAGAGCGCACGCGAAATCACCGCGGCTGTTACCGTGACCCGCGGTGCAAAGTCACGCGTTTTGCACTCGGGTTTGCTTTTCGGATGTAATGACACACCAAGGCTGTTGACAAAAGTCATACGGGATCACAGGTGACAGCGACCGCCTACAAATTTCCGTCTGTGGGAGATTCGCCCTCCGGGGGGGGGGGTCGCAATCGCAGTGATGCTGACGTACACTGAATGTTCGGTGTAGGGTGCCCGAGGAACAGTCGAAACACGCTGACGCTGCCGATTGTGTTGCCACTGAGCAGAAACGTCTGGTTGAAGGAGAATGCCAGACAGGACACCGGGATACCCTTGCTTTGTGGACTGAATTAAAAGACTGAAAAAAACACGACGGGGGAACGGAAGTTGAAGGCCACGGGGCGGGGAGCTGGCTTGCTCCACTGAGGCTTCCTCTAACGAAGAATACCTGCGTGAACGTACCGTTGACAAACACTGGCAGATGTCGAGGTCCCAGACGGCCACGACGCCATCGTACGTGCCACAGGCGGCGATCTGAAATAGCCCGCTGCGATCCATGTTATCCCTAGGCGACCGGGTAGAAGACATACCTTGTCGTCTCCACTCAGCGCGATGGCCGTCACGAATCCCATGTGCCCGGAGGCGTCTGGGGCGTCGTGAACGCGCTTCTGGATGTGCCACACATCTACTCGTGGACGCCACCCGAGAAAGGAAGGTAAATTGTTCGGATGGATCTGAAGAAGAGCTTTATTTGGGCCGAAAGCTCCTCCCCGCGATGGCCTCGTGAGGAACTATTTCACTTGAAGAAGATCCTTGAGGGTTAAGACGCAACGGCAAGTGACATGAGACGGCAAACGGAAGCTGACAGTCGAGCACGTCCACGATTTGGCCATTGTGGATGTCGTAGCAGTAGACGATGGACTTCGTGGCCGCGAACAGCTGACAGTCGTCCTGAGCGCAGGCCAACGCGTTCACCTGAAACAGGGCACATCGATGCTGAACACCTGAAGCCACTCGCATTGGGTGGCCTCGGGAAGCGCGTTATACTTGGAGATGTATTTGCGCTTGGAAAACGCCATATGCTAAATTCATGAGCAGATGGGAGGTCCATTCTGGGGTTTCATGCTATTGTTTAGCCCAAGTCATCCCACTGATTGTTATTTTAGGAAGTGTCATTGTCTAGGCACTTACTACACTACCCCTCAGATAGTTCCACTCTTCAGAGGGACCGCGACGCTCAGCGAAGCGAGTTTGGTCCATGGAGGTGTGGCGCCCGTCCCCACTGCTCGGCGCCTTACCCTCACTGATGCTCAAAGAATACGGGCACAGGTCACAAGTTCAACGAACCCGTCCTTCGTGTCCCATCAGCTCGTGCAGCTCCTGGGCAGCAACTGTTGAGAAAACTCGCAGCGTCTCGTCCTCGCAAGCGACGATAACAAAGGCGTCATTCCTGAAGAGAACTGGATGAGTACCGAAATAGAAGGAAATACTCAATTCTGAACCGAGAACTCACGAAGTGATGGCAATGCAACTGACTGGGGCCATGAGGCCTCCCATTCGTGATATGCAGCGACCCGTCTCGAGTGACCACATTTGCACGATGAAGTCACCAGATCCTGGAAGAGTGCAGCGAAATCAGCGAAAGAGCGAAATTTTGGATGCTTCGGTTGGCCATGTAATTTCTTATAGATTGATAAGCTCTACTAAAATAGTGTGACATCCTGGCTAAATGAGAAACCATCCCAGAGTCCGACCCGAGCGGCCGCGCCACGGCTCTGAAATCGACGCACGGTAAGAACTTCTGCCTCATCATGCTTCGCTCGGGAATATATAGAATTTTGATTGTAGGTATCTTCGTCAGGGAGGGATTTTCTGTGGATGTTCTTCAAGAAGACAGCAATGCCGCAAAGCAAAGCTCCCCACGGCCAGCCCAAGCGTTCTGCCTTGTGGGTGAGAATGCACAAAATTCACCAGAAATTGGGCAGAATTGCCTTACCTGTGATCAGAAATTCATTATTGACAGTGAGCTGAAGGGAGACGACGCTGCCGGTGTGCTCCGTGAACGACTTCAGTACTTCGCCGCTCTCGAGATCAATCATCTAAAAACGCTGGGCTTATCAGTCCGGGCTCGGGTTCACCTCCCAGAAGGGCGACACGCTTACCTTGGCTGAGGAGTCGGCCGAACCGGTCACCAGAAACGTGTCGTCGCTGGCCAGCACACAGCAGATGATTTTGTGCGAGTGCGGTGTGAGCACCTTCATGCATTCGCCCTGAAAACCATCCCAGTGAAGAAAAGTCTCCCATCACGCCCCAATTGCGCTCAGTCAGAGAGTGCACCGAATAAGTCGAGGCGATCTTATCAGAGAATCAGACTTCTGAACTCACGCTGATGAGGCTCCATATCCGAACAGACTTGTCGGTGGAAGTGCTGACGAAAAACGTGCCGCTGGTACTGCACGACAGGGAAGTCACGTTTCCGGTGTGACCTGTAAATTTGCAAATTGGTGTTCTACTATTAGAACTCTAAATAACATCAGCTTTGGAGGGGGGAGGTGGCGGACCAGCCTGAAACTCGGGGTAGGACGACTCCGCCGGAAATTGGGCGATATGTTCTCAAGGACCAGCAAGTTTGACAGTTTGTGTGTGTCTATTAGGAACTCTGAATGACATTAGCTTTGGGACGGGGGGGGAGACAGCCTGTAATCGTGAGAACGACTTTGCTGGAAATCGGTGCGAGATGTTCAGCATGCGACCGGCACTGATCTTATTTTGAGAAACTTAGCTAGGATAGTGATGGAAGAAACGAGGGTACACGACAGGAGTGGTTGTCGTGACATGCGGCGAAAGGACAGGAGCCAGGCGGGCTCCGCGGACGGATCGCGGCGTACTGTAGCAATTTAGCGTCAAGTTAATCCGATGTGCCCTATAGTTATGCCCACGGAGTCGGATTCCGCGCTGGAATATCGTTCGCCTGACCATCTGGTCTCTGCAATTCTCGCCCTAAGCGACATGCTTCGTGTCGAGAGGCTACAGAGTTAGCTTTCGAGGTAAACATCTTATGTTTCGGTGCGAGCTTTGATGAGTCGGAATAATGTTGGGACTGCGCTAAATTGGGGGCAGAGAGGCCTGTTGAAGCTCACATTTCGAGCATTACATTTAAATGTTGCGTCATAGAGCTGGAGGCGTATGTGATAATGTAGATGGACGCGACTGCCGGTATGATTCCTCTGAGATGAGGAGTAGTGGTGGTTGAATGTCGGCGACAAGCACCATTCTGGCCGGCTTTCAGTCTGGTCATACGGGTGGGATGTGGCCACAAAATCGAACGTAATATTACATAAAAGCGTTTCGAGAAAATCGCTTTCTACTCGCTTTCGATTTCAATTGCTTGAGCTGTACTGCATTGCCACCTTGATGGTGGCAATGTCCGACAAGTTCTGCTTAATCTTGAGGCGGGGCGATCCAGCACGAGAGCGGCACGAGCAGCGGCTGTCGGTTGTAGTTGTCCACCCAGGTCATTGCCTGCTCCACCAAAGTGTTCAGAAAATGCTGCTGGTTCTCGGCTGCAACAATCAGCGATTACATCCAAAACTCCAAAGCTTAAGAGGTGTCAAGCGAGGGCGAACCTCTGGTGTACCGTAACCTTCCAATCACCTCAGCCGGCGAGCTGCTCGCGATCCCTCAGAACCGTCGGGATCGCAGGAATCAGCACCTGCTCGCACAATACTGGAACGCGCGAGTTATTGTCTCCTTGGATAACTATCCTGTCATTCACAACTCACCTTGGATATCATGGTGGAGGACTTGCATGGCGCATTCCTCGTACATCGATAAAAGGTGAACCATTGAGCAAGTACGAACCGCGCTGTCAATAAAGTCGAATTGGCACAACGCCATGTCTTTAAGGGCATCCATATTACCTTAACATAATCAGATAAAAATAGTCATTCATTTTTGAAAGTTCACAAGCGCTGGCGAAAGGTCTCAGGACTACTGTCAACCGTGAGGCTAGGCAATTCAGCGTTTTGTAGTGCTGTCTGGGAGCTCTCACACAAGCACACTATTACAGAATCTCCGCTTTCTTTACCTCCTTCAAAAGGCTTAGTCCCACTACCACACAAAACGTCTGCTTTTCCTTCTACACTCTCACCCTTTGGTTGACAGAAGCGTTGTAAACCTCGCTGAAGGCTACAACGCTCAAAATACCTTTTGATCGGAAAGCAAATAAGAGGAATCGTCATATTTAGGAGATTTTTTAAATCAGGGCAACCCTCTCCCAATCCTCCAATGGTCGGTGGTGTCAACACTGTCGTGAAAATGCTACCACTTGACACACCTACTCCGCCCCCAAATCTCAGACGTCATGCGGACCGACGAGAGGGTATACGGAGGTCAGAAGCAAGAACTCTTCACGATTTTCGTCCATTTCATCCACTTCGAAATCCCAAGAATGCCCTTCGGATACGACTCCTTGTCGACTTTTCTTCCAAAGTCCAAATACCCCCCCCCGCCCTTGTTGGCCAAATTACCTTCAATAGCCCTGATCTTTCTCCGAACGCGGCTTTGTTGGCAGTACTGGTGAGGAGCGAAGTCAGAAAACTCTCTCTTCCGCAATGACCTTCGATAGGTCAGCGTAAGAGCAAGCCAAGAAACTGTATAAACCTGAGGGTTCGTTCCAACGTACCTGTATGAAGTAAGTGAAACCAGA